TTTACTTAAACAAATGGTGCCGTTTTAATTGCCGGTGCACGTTCATCGCGGTCTATAATATAACGACTGTTGGACTCATCCGTTGGCCAAATAATTTTGTATGGACCAGACATGAGACATGTGAAATTATTTTTGTAGATAGTTCTCGGGATCCGAGCCCGAGACTTTTGCTGCTCGAATATCATACTCCGTATCTTTTAGTCCCCATTGCAATTGTGACTATGCATTCTTTTCTTTTTTGTTATTTATTTATCATTATTATTCTTTTTTCAATTCCTTCCTTCTTTCCAGGTATGCACTATGTGTCGTGTTTGATCAAAAAAGTATTAATATATTTTTCTTTTTTCTTCTGAGAGCATATATTATATACAAAAATTATGTTTTATTCACTGCTTATTAGTTTTAAGGCTATAATTTTTCATTTATATATTATCAATTTTTTAAATTGAAAATAAATGTACCAATAATTGTTTTGATGATATGCTTTTTTTAATTATTTATTTTTCTGATAAACAAAGAATTTTTTTAAACAAATGCATACATGTTTTAAATTTTCATGTTAACTACTCTATAATAATTGTTTGAGTTAATTTCATCATTGGTCTCTTGTCATTGGTGGCAATTTTAAATTTAGTTTCAGATTATTGTTTTTGCCATTTAACATCCCAGACTATTATTTTTATAACATTTTTAGTCTTTCTCATGACTTTTCCTATTTTTAGTAAGGTCATTTTTGTCTCCTTATATTTTTCTTTTATTATTTTTCTGGTTTCAACCGTTTTAATTGGTTTAGGATTTTACTAAAAACCGGTTAAAAATATGGTTAGTAAAAAGCAGAGGTTACCTAAAATTTTAAACCAACCGCTTGAAATCGAAAAAATAACAAAAATAGAATATGAAAAGACAAAAATACCCTTAGGGAGCGTTTGGTTCACGGAATTTTGGATTACCCCAGGTAATAGGATTACCTCCTGGAAGGTAATGTGAGATTTTAGGAATGTAAGATTACCTTGTGTGTTTGGTTTGGATGGTGTAATATAATATTACCTTGTTTAGTTCAGGGTTATATTTTAGGTTATATGGATTAATTTACAATAATGCCCTCAATAATATATATATATATATATATATATATATATATATATATATATATATATATATATATATATATATATATTATGTGTGTGTTTTTGTTTATATCTATGAATGTATATCAAAACTTAAATATTAAAAAAAACTAAATATATAAATATACACATATGTATATTTAATTATATAAACATATATTAATTTCATCATCATCATCATCATCATCATTATTATTATTATTATTATTATTATTATTTTTATTTTTATTATTATTATTATATAAAGATTAGTTAACAAGGGCAAAGTTGGAATAATTCAAGGTAATCTAAGATTACCTAAAAAAAATGGGGGTAATCACATTATCTTGAAATATTACCGCCACATCAGCTTTCAGATAATATAACATTACCTGGTATTCTCATAACTTGAACCAAACAAGGTAATATACAATTCCAGACTCAGATGACCTAGGTAATCTAAGATGACCTGAACCAAACGCCCCCTTATTAAAAATAGGAAAAGTCATGAGAAGGAATAAAAGTGTCCAAAAATAATAGTTTGGGATGTTAAATGGCAAAAACGATAGTCTGTGACTAAATTTGAAATTGTCATCAAAGACAATGGACCTCTAGTGGAATTAACTTCAATATAATTTGTTTAATATGGCCAGCACCATGGTTGCAAAAATCGCTTCTAGGCGCTAGGCCCCGCCGACCACCGCGAGGAAGGCCAGAATCGGCCTCTTCCGCGGCCGGCCGACTGAACCGACCGTTTAATTTTTTTTATTTTATTTTATTTTTATTATTATTTTTTTTTTTTTGCGTTTTAAAGTGTTAAAAGTTTGGGAAGGCATAACTTTTGACTCGGTTGTTCGTTTTGGACAATTTTTTTTTCAAATCGCGTATTTTTTTGAGATCTATACACCGCAAATGCCGAAGGCGGTTTGACCCTCTAATTTCTCAAAAAAAAAAATTACTTCTTTTGCTCTTAATTTTAATTTTTTATGTATTTAGATATATGGTTTCAACAATATTCAAAACGATTTTACAACCACTTATGTAAATAATTTGTAAGAAAAAACTAGACGAACATCATGTTTTATTAGTGAATTTCACAATTTTTAATTTTTAATTTTTTTTAAAAAAATAAAAAATAAAAAATAATAATAATAAAGTGCCTAGGCGCCCCCTTGACGCCTAGGGGGCGCCTAACGTTTTTTGCAACCTTGGCCAGCACTTTGCATTTAATTGTGCTGACTCAGTGCAAACATGGATAGTCTGAGTATATATGGTTTGGCTTAAATGTGTCTCCTATATTTGAGGCTTAGCGTAGTTGGTTCGTCGCCTAACTTAAAAGGTCATGACTGGAGGTGGCAACGTTGGGGTTTGATCCCATGGGAAGCATGTATGGGAAATTAAAATGCCCAAAGGATCCTAAAAGGTCTTGATTGGATCCCTTCTACGCATATAAAAACTAGAATATGATTGGTGAATTGTCCGACTCGCGATTTAAAAGCCCAGACTAAAAAAAATTGTTTTGTAACGTGTAGAAAATTTTTATTCTTGTAGAATAGTAAGTTTGGCCTACCACTTAATTATATGCATAAAAAGCCAAGAATATTCACACTTTCGCATTCATTTCTTAACTTTCTTTTTTCTTCACAATTGCCAAAAGCAGATGATGATCAAATTAGTTCCATCACCATCAAATACAGTTTTCTCTTGCTAATCGATCTTCTCATTATTTGGCTCCATCTTATTCAATGATTTGGGACTTTATCAAGAAACATGTAGAGACTATTATTTTAACATATTATTATTCAAGGGAATTAAAAAAAAAAAAAAATAGCATCAATGTCTATCAGTTATTCTGAATTAGTTAATCTCTTATTATTAAAATCAGTATTTCTTATCCGTGATGCGCAAAAAATAAGTGCACAATATTAATATTTTATATTAAAATTTTAAATTTATTTAGATTTTAGATATTTAAATTATTTTAAATAATAATAATAATAATAATGTAAAACATTTCTATAAATTTAATAATTATATTTTAAAAAATAACTAACATATAATCACAATATATAATGTATATTATTATTATTATTATTATTATTATTATTATTATTATTATTATTATTATTATTATTATTATTATTATTATTATTATTGAAAATAAGAAAATATATGGTGGATGCATGTGCATGGTAGAAATAGTGGAAAAGATAACGGAAGTTATAACGATAGGGGTATGTTTGTCCAAAATATTGTATAGTACAACATTTATAGCATAATGTATCATAAAACTTAACGGAAAAAAGGACATAAATGAAGGGTATAACCTTCATCCACACTTATTATGTTTTTAGATTAGATTTACAAAATATACTCTAAACTTTACAAGATTGCGGTGGTTTCGATATGATCATTTGATTAACAGAAATTCAAGCTAAGGCCACAATGTTAATGTTCAAATATTTTTGGTAGACATTTTAATTAGTGCTTTATGTTAGAAATATTTTTTGTAGAATAAACATGTAAACTAACCATTGAAAAGTAACAATAGATCGAGGACATAGTCAAGTGAAAAGCTAGCTTAGTCCTTGCAGGTTTCTCCCAGTTTTTTTTTTCTCTATATTGTAGATAATGTATGTTTGCAATGACAAGAAGGTAGTGAAAGGATTATGGTGGTGTTTGGTAAATAGCTGGTAGCTGATTGGATTAGTAGGTTTGACTAGTTGATAGTATTAGCGGATTGTAGAAAGATATTTGGTAAATTAGCTGATAGTTGATTACATGCAAAATGACTTTCTCAAAAAGTTGATCGAAAAAATTACTTTGAGCAGTTTTTTGAATTTTAGCGTTTTGGAACAATAAGCTATTACAAAAAACTAATTAATCAAACATTTATGTTGGTGGTTTAACCAAGTCAAACAGCTAATAACGATTAAATAAGTTAAAATTTACTGATAAACTAACTACGGTACCAAACAGGGCCATAAATAGTTTGTACCCGAAATCGTTATTAGCCATGACATAATGACCATTAAATGTCATTGAAAATGTAATGTTTATAATAGTGATGATAACCGTTGCACCAATTACTGCAACGATTTGTTTCATTATAATTGTTACATTTTTTCTCTTGGTGTAAACATTAGCACAATTTTTATTCTCTTGGTGCAAACATTAGCACAATTTTTATTAAGAAGTAAAAGTTACAAATCATATAGGTTGTCAAATCAAGCGAGATCAAGCATTCTTGTGATACAAAACTATCAAGTATATATTCAATGGTATGTAAAAGTGCACCCAAGAACTATTGCATTATGTAAAATTACAAAGTGCATCATCATTATATAATATGTATAATTGAATTGCATTTTATAGTTTTACGTGATACATTTAAAATTTTGTAATATTTTCTAAATTATTGTCACCATTTTTTTATTTTAAAATCGTTAATTATCCCATGCTTATATCAATTTATACACTTTTTACCTAAATTCTTATTCTATATACATATATTCCATGCATTTTCAAGCGTATATCAGATTAGTTCCATACCCATCAAATTTAGCTTTTAACAATTTAAACTAATTAAAACGATTAATCACAAATATTTGAGGGGGAAAAAAGAGCACATTTTTCCATTGTTTAGTTTTTCAAGAAGAGAAGAAAAGAGCACTACAAGAAAGCTTGTCCCTTTGCTAAAGATTATTATTACTTTATCAATAATAGGCACGAACTTTCTAAAGTTCTTCACAAAAATTGTCCGACATCTTTTTTTCGGAGAAAAATGATTTTTCTTTGTTACATTTATTATCTCATATATATTCACTCTATTAATTAGCATGGTTTAGGTTTAAAATAAAAAAAAAAAAAAAAACATGGTTTAGAAAGGAGAAATAGGCGTGGAGGAGTTTTAATTGGAGTTGCTCAATTTACCCATACCACAGGATCAACACCTCACGTAAAAGTTGCAGCTCAACTTGTAAGTTCATTTGAATTGTTTAAGTTATAAGTATTATGTGTTTTTTATTATATGGAAATAAGATATGGAATGAGGATTGATTGAACTTAGGAGTAGAAACTGCAGAGTTAATTTGGGAAGCACTAGCTTAAATCTTTTAATGAGGATTCTAGGTAGAATGAATAACTAGAGTTTACTTGGCTCCAACTTTTATGTTTTTTTGTTGATTGTGATTGTGTTTATTGATTGATGTTGGAGATTATAATTGAACTGTATTATATATTGAACAGGGAGATAGTCTTATATACAAAGGAAACTCTGCCGAATTTTTTCTTACTTTAATAATTGCTTTTGTTTGTTAAATATAATTTGTAGGAAGGACAATTGGGTCATTGTCCATCGTATTATGAACTGTTCAAGCATACACATACCAAACAACATGATGGGCAAACATTCATAGCTGAAAAAGCCAAACAAATTCATGTAAGTTTAATTTGTTTTAAGTTTTTAAAAGATATATGCCTTTACATATATTTTGTACTAAATCTCTAACATATTTTAGGAACAAGTTGAATCGCAATGGGAGATGTTGGCAGAAAATGGGGAGCAGGTGGATGACAATCAATTATACTATGACGCGGTTGGTGGACACGATAAGAAAAGAAGAGGTTATGGACTTGGTTCATATGGTTGTTCTGTTGTTCATGGTCCAACTAGTGATAACACTTCTGGCAATATGACACCAACATCGCGACCACCCGACAATGCTACTTCTACTTCTGCAAATGTACAACATGAAATTCAGAGTTTGAAGGAAACTATTCTCCTTATGCAACAACGACTTGATGCTATTGATGGCGAGAGAGTGGGTACTTCATCATCACCTCCATCTCAAATCAATTGATTTTAATGGTTGTTTGTTAGTGTTGTTTAGGCTTGAATTGACTATTATATTATGTATTAAGTGTGGATTGATAATGTATTATTATGTTGTTTAGACTTGAATTGACTATTATATTATGTATTAAGTGTGGATTGACAATGTATTATTATGTTGTTTAGAGTTTAATTGACGATTATATTATATATGAAATGTGGATTGGTAATGTATTAGTATTTTAATTTAATTTAGAATTATGTTATCTTTTATTTTAAAAACATTCAGTACTATTTAAAATCAAAATTTTATTTTAAAATAATTCAAAAACGCGACGGAATCGCGATGGAATATAAGATTTGCGACGGAATATTTGATGGCAATGAAGCGACGGAATTACGACGGAAAACATTTCCGTTGCGAAATGAGCGACGGAATTGGCGACCGAAAAGATAATATGGCGACGGAATATTCGGTTCAGAAATAACGACGAATTTGCGACGGAAATAGTTCCGTTGCAAAATTGGCGATGGAATTCGCGACGGAATTATTCCGTCGCCATTTGGCGCGGAAATAGTCCGTCGCGAATTCCATCGCCAAACGTTGCGACGGAATAATTCCGTCGTCTACCAAAAAACGACAAGCCGATAGACGACGGAATATATTCCGTCGCCATTCCGTCGCGAAACGCAATTCGCGACGGAATATTGCCCATTCGCGACGAAAAATTTCCGTCGCGATTCGCGCTTTTTCTTGTAGTGAATTATTCTTTATTAGTGATTTTAATTGTCTTTTAATTTATTTTTATCGTTACAATATTCACTCTTAATTTTTTTAATAAATTGTGATTTTAATCCCTAAAACAGTAAAACCATATAATTAACTATGTTAGGTTTTTTCCTTAGTACATAAGTATAGTACTTCAGTAATTTCTTATTTTTCTTCCTTATACTTTTTAAACTTCGTTTGTTATTTAAATTTTACCTATTTAATTGTGGTGCACCATCCCTCTTTTCTCCCTTACTGAAGAAGATTCTAAGAACAAACACAATAAATTATTAAAATATAAATGTAGTAAGTAACAATCTAATTACGTCTAATAGTTAAATTTTTCTAGGAAGTAAAAATGTAACTTATTTGAAAAGTTAGAAATATATACTACAACAGAAAAAAGTTAATGACTAAAATGACAAGAAAAAATTGCTAAAAATTAATTTTCCTGTTACAAAATAACCAAATAAAATAAAAAATGAACCATATAGTTTGTTGTGCAATCATTATACCATGGACTATGGTCTACCTTGTAAGGTGAACGACTGATATACTAAAGGTTCATTTTTATATGTTCATTTTTTGAAGGTACATTATTTGTATATTGAATATTTATTATTTAGTATACTACCAAATAATGAACCTTCATTACATAAATAATATACTATCAGTATATTAAAAATGAACATTTATTCATGATCTACATGGTAATGTAGAGGTATAATTTGTAGTTGTTGCGCTGTGGGCTTTGTACGAGGGTTCAGTCATTGTTACCTTCTTGTGTTTTGTTGATTGTATTTCTAATAAATTGAGGGTTAAAGGAAAAAAAAAAAAAAAAAAAAAAAAAAAAAAACCATATTATTCCACGAAATGCTACTCAATTTTAGATCAATTTTGTAAACAAAACGCTATAACTATTTCTAACTCAGCGTCAGTAAAAAATTAAATGAATGTTAACACAACTAGCACTACCAACAATATGTGTGGAAAATTTTATATAATGGGTGAAATTTTTTAACTTTAGCATCTTTTTTAGTTAAAGAGATTAAGAAATCACTCTTTTATAGATTTTTTTTATTATGACTTAAATTCATATTCTTACATGGATCGGACCTAGTGCATGATATAAACATTCTTCCAAAGGTTGAACCTCAACCCTAAGGTGCATGATATAAACATATATTGAGTAAATGATGATTGTTTTTTTTTTTTTTTTTTTTTTTTTTCAAATAGGAATGGTTACTTTACATTATAAGGGTGTGTTTGGTTCGCACATAGGAATAAGAATCGGGATGGGTATCAAATACTTGGTAATGGTAATGGGTTTTGGTGAAAGTATTTAACATGTTTGGTAGTATGGTGGAATCGGAATGGTTACTAATAGTAGTGCTTGAGAATGAATAAGGGAATGAAACCCTTATTATATTTGGATATGGGTTTTTCAATTGATAGGGTATTCGAAACCCATAGTAGTGTTCTAAAAATCTATCAACCAAACAACAACAATCACTTTCATACCCATTCCTATGGGCAAAACCCACCAACCAAACACACCCTAAATCTTACTTTCCAAATAGGAGTACTTTAAAATTTATTTTCGAGTTAATAACCAAAATGGTCCCTTGACTATGCCGTAATTACCAATTTGGTCCTCGACTATCATTCTTACACGATTTAGTCCTCAACTATGTAGAATTTACCCAATTTAGTCTTTGGTTAAATTTTCTGCTTGTTGAACGTTAAAATTGAGGGCAAAATTGTCATTCTACGAGCCTTCTTCCTCCTCCCTATCAAACAACGCCAACCATGGTTCATCCCTGCGAATTCATTGCATCATCCCACAACGCCAACCATGATTCATCCCTACATATGTAATGTGTCTATTCCTAATGGCCCAAAATAATATTTCAACTTTGGCTTTCAGAATGCCACTTTCCTTGCAACATCCCAGGATTCACAGGAGAAGATGGAAGCGTTCCTCCATCTCCAGAGCCACCAGATGGTCAGCGAGAAAAAGGCACCCCAGTCAAAATATAATCGATCAATATACAATATACAATTTGCAGGGAGATTTTAAAAACGGGAAAAGGGCCTTTAAATGCAGATTGCAGTGCCACCCTCGGTTCTTCCGTCGACTGTTCATCAACCTTCCAAGTTTCCATTGGATTCACTGAAACACATATATACAGTATATATAAATATAAATGTTCTTCATCAAAAGAATGCTTTGCTAGATTATCGGCTTGTTATTGCTTTTATTTGTTTATATTAATCTGAATCGATTATACGGAGCATTGCACAGATTACTCTGCTCTTCCGTCTCTTCATTCACCTCGATCCCTGATCTCACTCTATATATTTATCTCTCTGCATCTATCTATACATTTGTATTGGTCGTGACCGGAAAGGGGTTTGATCATGGCGTTTGCGGTTGCGATTATTGTCCCTTTTGGCCTCATGTTCTTTCATCTCTGGTCTCATTACCAATCTCATTCAGGTTTTTCCCTAATGCCCTTTACATAAAAATTTGATCTTGGTCGTTTAAATCGACTGGGATGAGAGTTAAAGTTGGTGGGGATATCTGGTTGATGTTGTATGGGTATTTGGAGATATTTGGTTGATGTTGTAAACACCCCATGGTTGATCTTGGCCGCTCCCTGCAAACGCTCTTTTCCCGTTCCTCCATTCCGTTTCAAGAATCTCCCTGCAAATTGTATATTGTATATCTGAAAGCCAAAGCTGAAGAACAGGCTGTTGCGTTCGTCCCTAAGAGCCTTTCAGGCGTCGTGCTAACCATGGGGCGCGGGGATGAGGCAATGAATTCGCAAGGTCTGATGGAGTGGATGATTCTGAACTACTATGCAATATTGCATGGTTGGCGTTGTTTAACAGGAAAGAGGAAGAAAGCTCATAGAATGTCAATTTTGCCCTCAATTTTAACGTTTAATAAACAGAAAATTTAACCAAGGACTAAATTGGATAAATTTTACATAGTTGAGGACTAAATCGTATAAGAATGATAGTCGATGACTAAATTGGTAATTACAGCATAGTCGAGGGACCATTTTGGTTATTAACTCTTTATTTTCCAAGTAGGTCTATTCATTGATTAATTGATCATCTACTTTTAACCAATTGTGATTGCTATCTCACACACTATATATTACACCATTCGCTCAATCACCAGGTCACCAAATGTACAATATACCACATTATCAATCCATGTAAACTTTCTTACCATAATAATATTGTCTGTTAAACTTGTAAATTCCATGACTTGACCTAATGCCATGGTTTGGCTAGAGTTTGTGGTTTTCGACATGAGGGAGCATGCAGGGTTTAAGTTATGTGGGTGGCATGGCTTAGATAGTTTTAACTTGCAGATGGTGGGCTGCTTTTTGGAAGATTTTGGGCATATCATGGTAAGGAGTTGGCTAACTTTTAGCTATGCACTTGAAATTATGGGTCACATTTGTATGAGACCGTCTGATATATCTTTATCTGTGAAACGAATTTGATCGGGTCAATATGAAAATGTATGTAATACTTATTAGGAATAAAGTTTTTGTTACTTAAAAGAGAAAATATAATACATACTTTTGAGAACAAATGAATACTTTTACATTTTGATGTAAAAGTATTATATATATATATATATATATATATATATATATATATATATATATATATATATATATATATATATATATATATATATATATATTATATCAAAAGTACTACATTTTCCTTTATAAGTAATGTTGGCAAGTAGTGTCCGTTACTTATTAAGGGAAAATGTAATATTTTTGAAAAAAAATGTAATGTTTTTAATCTAAATGTTAAAATATTACATTTTTTTCTAAAAGTATTACACTTTACCATATAAATAATAAATATTTTATTCCTTATTAGTATTACATTTTTTAGTATAAGTATTATATTTGATATTGATCCGACCCGTGTTAGGGATCCTTTTACACAAGTTGTTACCTTAATTTATTCATTTTGTGCTTTCACAAACTACTTTTACTACAACTACTCTTTTAACCATGTTCTTTAAATCATTAACTCCACCTACTTGATCATCCTTTTTCGGATCAATAATTAAATTAGTTAACAGATTTATTAATGCAATTTATGTCAAAATCTTTTGGTCATGAGTTTACATCGTATTGAAAGTTATGTTATATAACATGCTAACTATGGTCAATGGATGTTAGTGTTGAACATATAATATATAAATATAAATGTGCAATCAAATCCAAATAAACCAACTTCTTCCGAAAGGTTGAATTCTCAGCAGATAGGGTCAAAGCCAGTGTGCGCAGTGACTCAATGCTCAGCAGACAGGGTCAAAGCCAGTGTGTAAGGCATAATAATGCCATAATCCTCACACTGCCGCCGCGAAGGTTCAAACATTGATTTCTTCTCCCAAATACTGTCTACTGAACCATTGAGTTAAGTCTGTGCGAACACAAATAAACTAACTTAGTTAGCATAAGTGGTCGTGCACTCTCATCTTTTAAAGAGAGGTCGGGAATTCTAACACTTTATTCTTTAATTGGGTTGGCTTGATGCAAACAGGGACTTAAAAGGTGCTGTACACTAAAAATGCGCCAATTACTATTATAAGTATTTTAAGTAGTGTATATTTGTTCAAAATTATGCTAAAAAATGTTTGTAAAAACCTTACTTTAATAGCATTTCAACAATTGCTACTCTTTACACCTTATAAATACCCTTCCCCAGCTCCTCTCTTTATACTCTGCAGAGCTTCATTCATCGCTTCATCAGTTTAAAAAAAAAAATTAAAAAAGAAACATTTTCTGGGCACAAATCTTGAATTGGCCAGACCAAGATTACCATTTTTCTTTTCCTATTTCCACTTCCAACTTTAACAACAAAGAAATTTTGGTGGGGGTGGGGGGTGGGGGAGGGGGGCATTCTGCAGTGAAAGAGTTACAAAGTTTTTTTTTCCCAAGAAAATGATTCTGTTGTTGAAGGGATGCATTGTATGGAAGTTGTTTGCAATTCTTGAAACAAGATTCTGTTTAGCCAAAAGCTTTTACTTTTGGATCTTTCAGATTTTCAATAGATACAGTTTGGGCACTTAGCCAGTTAGCCAAATTATTTCTGTGTTTCTTCTCTGTTTTCTAGCTTCTTCTTCTTGTTTTTTTTGGACATTTTTTTGTGTGTTCTTAGGCCCTGAAATTCATGAGAGGAGCATCATTGCCTCCAGGGTTTCGGTTCCACCCAACCGATGATGAGTTGATTGGATACTATCTCAAGAGAAAGACTGAAGGACTAGAAATTGAACTGGAAGTCATTCCTGTAGTAGACTTGTACAAATTTGATCCATGGGAGCTGCCAGGTAGGCTCTTCATTAGCTTTTGCCTTCCATGTGTTTGATGATTTGCCTGAATGAACAGCTATCCATTGCCTACATGGATATGTTTATTTTTGAATATTAGAATAGTATGAATGCTTTGTGCAACTTCCAACTTTCAAGCAAAAATGCCTAGTTTTGGTGGAATCTGAAATAAAATGGTTGCTTTATTGCTTTTCTGTAGTTTGATACATTACTGACAGATCATAGGAAGAAAAGAGCATATCATTACCCAAAAAGTTTCTGTTCATTGTATTTGTTCTTGATTGTTGACTAGTGTGAATCTAGGAGTTTTTTGGATTCTGATATGGTGTGCATGAATTGCAGAAAAATCATTCCTGCCAAACCGTGACATGGAGTGGTTCTTCTTCTGTCCTCGGGATAAGAAGTATCCGAATGGCTCTCGAACCAACAGAGCCACTAAATCTGGGTACTGGAAAGCCACAGGGAAAGATAGGAAAGTAGTCTGCAAGCCTTCAACTGTTGGATACCGGAAGACACTGGTATTTTATCGTGGAAGAGCTCCTCTTGGGGATAGATCCGATTGGGTGATGCATGAGTATCGTATCAGTGATTATGATTCTCAGGGAAATCCAATCTTTCAGGTAATGTTGCAGCAAACTCCCCAAGTTCTATAAATCACTTCCTTGAGGTCTTTGTTTGATGAATTGATATATGGTATATATTCAGGGGCCATTTGTCCTTTGTCGGGTCATCAAGAGAAACGATGTTTCGTTGAAGACAATCAATGCTCGTGGCGAAACATCGGAGAAGGTCAGATGCAATTCAAGCAATAATGGAGATATCTCATCAGTTCCAGATGAACCGATAGTCATTTCTGGCAACGTCCCAACTCAAACCACGTACAAGACCACCGAGAGTAATTACTCAATACCTGTACCTTCTTCTCCCTACAAGACATCACGATTGGGGGACTATGAGTTTCATGTGCACCCTAGTTCTTCTAGCCTCTTGATATCTCCTGACATGATTCTTAACTCCTCAAAGGTATCCAATCATCGTATTTTATAATGACTTCAACTAAGCCTGGTGGTTCATGTGTTTATAATCGTAGCATTCTTTGATTCATGATAACAGGATTATCGTCATCAGGGGCAGCACACTTTTGGATACTACCCACAGTATGGCTTCTCAAACCCAACCCTATGGCAGCCATATGAAAACCCCGAGCTCTCATCAAGTTCATCTTACTCGAGCATTAGAGCGGAAGTTGAACTTTCGGATGATCTAACTAGATATGCTTGTACGTCTGCATATTCAGCTCTGGGAAGCTACATTGGCTTTTATGGCAGCGAAGACGCATCAGACCAAGGTTATGATCAGAGCATCTTGTTAAGAAATCCAAATCTCTTCTGAAAAACCGAGGGGTCAAACACAAACAAGACAAGACTGCGAGATAACTTCAATCTTCTGATGTAAGTCACTTCTGCCCTTCCCTATCACGACGGCTTTAATTGCATCTGAAGATCATTTCTCAAGTAGTTCTTAATAATCTAAAGTCATCATCAAATAAGTTTCAGATGTTGAAACCTTGTACTTACTTTCCCTTGTTGATAATATATGGAGTTGGGGTATATGAAAGAAAGCCAATCTTCCCATTCTATAAGTATCATGTCTTCTGCACATTGTAAGAAGTTTTAGGTCTAAGAGAAGATGGAAGCAATAATAGTAAAACTATATGGTATGGTGGTATGGTGGTATGGTATACGGCGACACTAAAGATATGTGACATAAATTATTCTTCGTTACGACAAAACTTGTTAACCCGTGTGATTCAATGTGAGGACTGTTCCCACACATCGCGGTAGAATTTCCCGACACCCGAGGAGAAGATAATGATCAAAGGAATGTTGTTGAAATAAAGAGGGTATCCTAGGATTTTTGTTGTTTTTTTTTTTTAATTTTTTATTTGTTTTTTTTTTTTTTTTTTCAGTTGAAAGTAATGCTATCTGTTGAAAGCTCCTAAATGCTGTATTCACTTTCCTCCCATTTTGTTTGTCTATTTGACTTAGTAAAAAGTTTTAAGGAAAGTCCTTTCATTTATATTTACTTTTGCTTTGTCGTTCCAATATCACCTTTTAAGAAAATGCCTTTACTTTTACTTCAAACGGTAAGTATATAATGTAAGTAATATTTTACAATTTTAATTTGTTAATGAATATTTCAAATATGTTGAAGGAATATGTTTGAGCAACTATTTACTACAATGAAATATAACATTCCAAACAATTGGTTACAAATTATTCTATAAAAGATTCTGATTAAAGAACTTCCATTGCATTTTGTATCCATTTTTCAAATTCATTAGGGTTTATGGACTTGCTATTTATGGGTTCAGTTAACAGTTTATGTGTCTGTAATTATCCTGTTATGTCACTAGTACGAATCGGTCATTTGCGCTTGAAGTAAAGCACAATTTGCGTCATTGTATGAAAAATCTGCGTCTAAGGTAACTTCAGACGCAGATAGTAGACAATCTACGTTTGATTCTGTGTTGAATAAGGCGCAAATTCTATTTTTTTTTTCTTTTAAAATGAAGCACTATCTATGTGATTGTCTTTTCAGGATCAGACGCAGATTATTATTATTACTTTTTTATTCAATTTATTTGATAAAATTTTAAATTTTTATCCTGTACAAAAATCACACTACCAACATTGTCACTGCCACTTTACGCGTCTGATGTTTAAACTTCAAATGCTGATTCTTAGATTTTTTTTGATCATTTTTGTACTAGTGTGTGTCTGTAATTATCACGTGATGTGTCTTTCAATTTATTTACAAATATAGAAATGATTAACTGCAACTACAAAATGTGTCTAACTACAGGTATGGTCTATGGTATAATTTGCCCAGAGACTAGAGATTTCAATCTTAACATGAAATAGACGGTAGTTATATTGTGGACCGCAGTGCACGTGCACCGCGGTCAAAACGGCGCACCGTTACTGTTAACGGAGCACGCATTTTTTGGTGTGTTAATTACCAACTGAAACAAAATTGTATCTAAACTGACACTAAAGTGTATCTAAACCGACACTGCATCACGTATTATTTTATATATTATCAATTGAAACTGCAATTATATCAAAATGATACTGTAGTTGTGGTGAAATGAAACTGCGGTGTATATAAAATGAAACTGAATAACATTTCACATATTTGAGTGTATATTGTGCAATGAAGCTGTAGTTATATCGAAATGATCATGTAGTTGTGTTTTAATGAAACTATAGTGTATATAAAATAAAATTAAATAACATTTTCACATATTTGAGTGTATAAATGCCGAATGAAACTGTAGTTATATCGAAATGGAACTGTAGTTGTGTTGAACTGAAATTGTAGTTGTGTTGAACTGAAACTGTAGTGTATACAAAATGAAACTGAATAACAGAATTACTTTTTTACGGAACGATGCAAAACAGGTGTCGTTTCTTTTCATTAAACAAAACGACGTTGTTTTGAAGCGCGGTTACAGTGCACGATATAATTTGCCTGAAATAAATTGGTTGGCCTAATAAAATTGAAAATTTTTAAAGGTTAAAAGCAAAAACAATTTAGCCCAATAAAACAAATCAACTTGATTAGTCCAAAATTGACAAGTCTAATAGCCCAAACAACCTAGCACGAAATTAGTGAATATATTAATTATTTTTATTTGTTAAAATTTTAAATAAATAAAAATTTAATTTTATATATTTTATACAAATGAAAATAAGTGTTACATTATGTTTTCGAATTGGACATGTGGGATTAGATTGATTAAATGATGTTTTAAATTTATATTTATAATATACGTTAGTTTGTTAAAATTGAAAGTTTAGAATGCTAATTTTTAAATTTTTAAAATTTTAGTTAAATTTGTCCGATAAACCAAATAAACCGAGGTTTTAGGGTTGGAAGGAAAAAAAGAAAATTAAACCGATAAACCCAACAATGCTAACTCAAAATTGAGTGGCCTAACTTAAATACTTAATTGACATCCCTAATGGAGAGGGGCACATTCCCATCTCGACCCTGACATTCTCCGACCTCACTAGAGATTTTTGAGTTGGAACTTTCTAATCCTGATCCCCACCAAGGATTTTTCCAGGCTAAAAAATTCTTAATCCCATTTATAATTTTTAGAATTTTTATTTTAAAATTTGAAATAAATTTAAACATGTCTCATCTAGTCATTTTCAACTTAAAAAAATACTATTGAACATTTTATAATAAATTCATGTAGTCGAAAGAGACATTTCATGCATCTAACAAAAAAATAAAAATAAAAATAGTTCAAGTCTCGGAAAAGTGGTCAAGTGAGTGAAATATGATTCTCGTACAAGAAAATCATGAATTCGATTATTGCCAATACACTCTTGGTCGAACTCATCACACAAGGTTTTCCTAAAATGATTTACATCTCCTACGTGGTTTGTCGACTATTATATAAAGATAAAATTTACTCGATGCATATCTTTGAATAGATAGTTACAGGTTTTCCTCGTCACCAAAAAAAAAATAATAATAAAAAAATACACAATCAACTTTGATCAAGGCATTACATGTATCCTAGCTTTTCTTTTTCCAGGGACAACATTTTTAGAATACAAATATAAATAATTTTTTTAAAGTAAGTAGTAGCAACGTTTCACAATATAATTTCGAGTAACTTTTGTTAGTTGCCTCCACATTGTTGGATTAAGTATTATTTAGGAAAAATGACAGTTTTCTCCCTTAAGTTATACGGTAATTGTAAGATTCGTCTCTATTTACTACTTGAGCTCATTCATTCATAAGCTGTAATTGACGTTGTACTTTTCGTTCTTTTACTAACTGCGTGTTATGAATCTATTTATTTGTCACCAAAGTTTAGGGTATTGTTGTCAAAACACATCCAATGTCATCAGTAGTCTTTATCTATGTCAATGCTTGACCTTCTTACCCTAAATTGAGAGCTTGTAATTAAAACTAAATCCTTAGTCTTAGTTTTTCTTCATTTTCTTGCAAATAGAGAGTATTGTAATTATCCACAAAAATTAAAAGAGCCTAAAATTTTAGCAAACTCCTGTGCTTCGTCTTCAAATGTTCATATTGAAGATTTGAGGTGTAGATGTAGAGAGTAGCAACCAAATAATTAAAATGTCATAGAGTGAAAATAACTTGGTAGAAGGTATCAAGCGTGCCTACAATATGGAATAAGTGTTTCTTAATAGATGATTTAAAATTTTGTATAAATATGTTTTTCAGATGAACACAATTGATATTCTTGAATTTCGTTAGTTTATAGCAAAGTGATAGTTGTCGAAGCTTTAAGTGGATTAACATAAAAGTTTATTTCTGTAGTTGCTCTACACGCATCCCAAAAAGTTTGCTTAATGAGTTGACCACCATATCCATTCCTACTGAAATTAGCATGGAGATGCCTAATACAATGCCTATGTTCTACATCTATGAATATAACTCTTCAAAAGTAAGTACTAATCCCTTTAGTTTATCATAAATAAAGGTCCATCCAGTAAGATTTTGAGAAACATTAAGATCACCATCTAATAACGCAAGAAACCACTTCTAACTTTCTTTCAACTCCACTTTAATCATAGCAAACACAAGTGATACATGTTGTTATTAGCATCTACTCCAAATGCACTCAACAATTGTCCTCTTTTCCTTTCTGACTTCCCTTCAGATGTCATCCATCTACACCTATTAACACCTATTAAGGGTCTACATATATTTAAAAATGATTGTTTACATGCACCATAATAGATATACAATCTTTGGAACCTACTCTTGCCATCTATTGAGTCAGTATTATCAACATCGATCAACTTCACAATAGTCCCAAGGTTAGTTTTCATAATTTCTTCACAGTAGCCAGACAATAAATTAAATGGATAATCTTAAGCGCGAGTTAGTAGCAACTTTGTCTTTTAATTTATTTGGCCATAAATGACTAAAATTTAGAAATGTTGCATCTAAACTTTTTATTTACATGCTTTTGGAATTGAATCATGCCCCCATTCCTCCTTTAGTTTGAATCTATTGTTTAAAAAAAAAAAAAATTGCAAGCCAATAAACCTTATTTTAACAACTTGTGTACATGTTGTTCACCACAACTATGACCTATATGTTTTAATTGTAAAATGACAGTTTTCATTACTCCTAGAACCATATATAACACAATCACAATTTGTATACCTATACTTTGCTCTATCTCTCCCAAACCCATTCTTGACAAAGTGCACATCCTTTGTTCTCAATGCTTTGTGTCTTTCAACTACTCACTTAAACTCCTTATTATCTTTAAAAAGTATCCCTTCTCAAAATTTAAAATCCTCCATCATGAATTTTGAATCACTAAAAACTAAAACATATTTGGACCATTCTCCATCAAAATTTGAACTAATGTTCCTTAATTCATCTCTTGAATCAACACAATCTATTTCATTTAATTGGGCAATTAAACTGCCAAATTCCTCCAACCACATTTGTAGTTGCAATATCAATAACATTACATTTAGCATCTTTACTAGAAAAATGAGAATACTCAAATTCACCATCTAATGAGGTTAATTTCTCATTCCTAAAAATATAGTTACCCCTTAACCACTCTGCCCCGCCTTTATTTTGATCAATTAATTTTCTATTGTGATTATCGCGCGGTATCACCAGTCCCGCCTTGTTTCAATTTATCCTCAATATAATATTCCACTTACACACCATATGACCAACTA